TTTTTCGGTTTTCGTTTAGAGGCACCGCCTCCGTAAAAAAAGACAGACCCTCGCCTGAATAAGACACACCGACTTTGACCGTGTGCCATTTCCGAACGGCTTCGAGTTGCGCCCCTTCCGGCTTGATGCCTAACAGAGCTCAGTCAGGTCTCTCACTCATCCAAGGCGGAAGCCGCAACTCGTAGCCGTTCGGGAGTGGCACGTTGTCAAAGTCAGTTGTCTTAGGTTAGAGGTTAGGTAGGAAGGTGAAGAACAGCCAGGCTCGGACTGGACACCAACGCGGTATGGGTGGACGCGAGACAGATGATGACGACACGCACGTGAGCGACACACAGACACAAACAGGCTCACAAGACACACAGCCAGTTGGCTGCCACACACCCTGAGTTGGCGTACACATAACTCAGGGCCACGTCCTCAAACTGTCGCCCCCCCCCAGCACCCGGGTTCGTCCCGGCGCGCCGCCCGGTGCCGCTTCTTCGCCAAGATTTTCCTCAACCTGTTGACCTCCCTGCACCCTGGGCGGGGAGGTGACGCGACCCTATGCCACCGCCCTCGCCCGGGGAAACCTCGGCCGGGCCGTCGACACTCTCGGAACCGGTGGAGCCGGGAGAAGCCGGCGAAGACGAAAGGCGGCAGCGGAGAAAGCGACACCAACAACGAGGGACGACCACACCGGCCGTCGTATGACGCTCGGCAAGCGAACAAGAGAGCGAATCGGGGACAACCGGAGCCCCGGGAGGATGGAAGGTGGAGCTCCGGGACCGAGGACTAAGCAAGTGTGTGTGTTTGGGCGTGGTGTAAGGTAAGGTAAGGGAAACGTCTCCACACACACAAAGTGGTGGGGCAAGGGGGGGCGACCCTCGCATCTCCACGCCCGGGACACGGGCAGGAGCCCCACGGCATTCAAAGTGCAAGCACCGGCCCGGTGCCGTGGGCGGGTGAGCAACCTGGGACCTGCCTGGAGTGGTGTACCGTGTAATGTCCACTATAGCTCCGAGTGGAGGGGGCGTCCTGCAGTTAAGGGGAAACCCGGTACGCAGGTCCAACCCTCGGAGAACCGTGTTTACTTTATGGCCCTTCCCCTGCGAACGCGCACCCCCCCCACCTACCTACCTACCTAGGGGTCAGGGCTCTCTAGCCCGTACGAGCCCGATGCCGACCGATCATCCGGCCCGCTGGGTGCGCTTCTTACAGTGTAGCTCCCCGGCCCTGGATGTGAGGTGACTAACTGCACTCCAAGTGCTCCAAGTTTACAAGAAAACTCCCTCGCACGACACAGTATCAAAATTCGTTTCACGCAAACACGAGTTGAACGGACAGACGTTCGTTCGTCGCCGCCAGCACAACCCAAAACACAATGCCCGACGAGGGCTGCAGCGGCTTCTTTCTGACCGAGCCCGCTGGGAACCCTGAGCCATCTATTCCGGGCGAGTACGCCATAGATGGATGCGGTGATAACGTGGACGAGATGGACGCCCACTGCCTCGCCGCCGCGGTGGAG